CAGACGGGTAGAAAACAATGGATGCTTGAACTCCCATTGTGTTATTATCGGACTCCTCCAGGTAACTTTTGGACATTTAAATGGCAATGTTTTAAGTAAGATATATGCCTCATACTATTCTATATGTAAAATTATCCGACAGTCTGATAATTTTACATATAGAACAGTATTCGGCATATATCCATTACATACATTCGGGGAATAGATCGCAGTTTTAATATTTGTAAATTATCTCGAATAAATCGGCTAAAGATCATAATCAAAAATCATCTATCTTTTGTTTAGAATCGTTGAAAATCTAAGAAAAAAATTGGAACAGTTATAAAAAAAATATGTATTTGTCCCAGTTGACAAAATAGATAATATCGCCTTTGTATGTTTGACTCATTATTTTAATCGATATCGTTTCTCAGAAGAACAAGGATTTTATTCTGCAACTGGTACTCCAGTCTTATTTATACACATACATTCCTTTTCTTCATAGGAAATAATATAAAGTCATATGTCATCTATAAAAAGTTTAATGTTACCAAGAAGCAAAATGACTTTTAACTAACCATCCAAATCTGGATTCCTAAAGTCTATTAAAATCAACTAAAGGTCGATTCTTACTCAACATCGATAAAAGTTGCAGTTTAATTCTAAAACAAATATAGAGTTTGTGAAATTGACTTACCTTGCCATTGCTCATTTGCAAAATTGTTTTGTTAAAACATATTCTGATTGTTAACATAAGTACTTTGAAGTTGATACTTAAAAGATACTTAAATTTCTGATTGACAATATTCTTGTAGATCAAGTCCTCCAACGATCAGTTGGAATTTCCATAGTTAACCATTCTACCCGTTATTTTGCAGACTTATTTCTTGCATTCAATTTTCAAAAAAGAGTTACTTCAAAAACAGATAAAAATATATCAAAAATATGAAAAAAATCTTTATGGACTTCAATGAAAAAGGCAAGAATAACAAACATTGATGTATTTTAACAAGAGGCCCACGGGCCTTATAGGTCACCTGAGTATCATGTAACAACTTTCCAGCGATTGTATTTGGTTCGTGTTTTAATCCAAAGCCATAAAATTCACAAATTTTGAAGGAGGCACCATTGATTATCAAAGGGCAGATTTCAAAGCATTAATTTATTTTTAGTCAAAGTACCCCCCTGGTACCCCTGACCCAGCGGCCCTGAAATTATCTATTTTGAAAGAGGCCCCTTTCTTCATTATAAGGCCAGCATTTTTTTTCTATGTTTAGGTTTAGTTATGAAATGAGAATAAAAAAGTCCTGAAGAAGAAGGAAATAAAAATTTTTTTTGATAAATCAATTATTAACATTTGTACATTCTTTTTTTATGCTATTCTAATAGGCTCCTTACCACTGGACACATAATGCTTACAAATAGGAAAGTAGAACATTTAATTGCTTATTTCATCATCTGCCAGTTTGGGTCAGTTATATAAATTTTGTGATGTTGGTCAAAATATATTTTAAAAAATCAATTCTTTAAAAGTCTTTCAATATATCTTCATTTTTTAAATATGTGTTAGGTAAATGTATAGACATTGTTCTAAAATTTACTTGTTGCCTAAAATTATAATTCCTATCATAAAACAGACAAGGAGTATTGGGGAGTAGGGTGAACATTTTTTCAATTAAGTTAAGTGTAAAATAATTTTTCTGGCTTATACAAATGATACTACATGCCTGTATATATTTGTATATTCTTGCCTTTTAATAGTTGAATTTTTTTTATTTCTTCAGGTTATTGTGTATTTCTTCCTCAAATGGACTTAACTTCTCCCATAGTTTTATTCATTACATCTGATGCATAAGCAACCCTTTGCTGAAGAATGATGCTTAGACTGTAAGCTATAACAGAGACCTAAACAATGTCCCTGGCAATATGCAATAGCTACCACGGGCAGTTTAAAACCTGGGGGAGGAACATAATTTACAGATACTTTTGAAACGAATACATAATTATCTCACCAGCATCTCATTGTGCAACAAAGTCGTCAGCATTTTATTTGTCCTTTGAACGGGTGAAACGTTTTGAATGGCACTCGTATCGATGAATTTTACACTAAACCAAGTTATATTCTCAGATCTATCATCTAGCTTTATTTACCCGCCGTTCCATCTTAAAACCGGAAGTGCGAGTTCCTAAATCTGAAATCTCGATCCCGATTCATATTTGACATCAGAAAGAAAAAAAATTAATTTTTTTCTGAAAATTCAAAACCTTGAGCGGAGGGTTTGTAAAACTGAAAATGAAATAAATCCTGCCCTTAAATATGTAATTAGATCATTAGTATATTAACCAGGAGCAAAGGATAAGATGTTCAAAGAATACATGCATTTCACTATATAATCATTAGAGCCCCACACTAAAACAAGAACCCCTGACCCTGGGGCCATAAAATTCACAATTTTGGTAGAGGCACTCTTGCACATCATAACTATGTACTTAGTTAGTTTATTTAATACCCAGGAGCAGAGAAGAAGATTTTCAAAGAATTCATGTATTTTCACTATATAATCAATAGAGCCCTGCCCTAACACCAGAACCCCTGACCCCAATGCCATGAATTTCACAATTTTGGTAGAGGCACTCTTGCTCATCATAACTATGTACTTAGTTGGTTTATTTAATACCCAGGAGCAGAGAAGAAGATTTTCAAAGAAATATTGCATTTTCACTACCTACTTATTTAGCCCCGCCCTAGCACTAGAACCCCTGATCCCAGGGCCATGAATTTCACAATTTTGGTAGAGGACTCATTGCTGATTACAATCATGCAAACAGTTTGCCTGCTTGATGTCCAGGAGTAAAGAAGAAGATTTTTAAAGATTGCATTAATTTTAGTGGTTTTGGCCCCACCCCTCAGGCCCCAGGGGGGCAGGGATCATGAAATTCACAATTTTTGTCCCCCTTCACCCAAAGATGCTTTGTGTCAAATTTGGTTGAAATTGGTTCAGTGGTTGCAGAGAAGAAGCTGAAAATGTTCAAATGTTAACGCACGACGGACGACGGACGACGCACGACGGCGGACGAAAACAGATAGCAATAGGTCACCTGAGTTTACTCAGGTGACCTAAAAATTCTAAACAAATAATAAAACTTTGAAGAATCAGGTGCCTAGGAAGTGTCAAAATCTCCTGTCGACCTTAAAGGGACATCTACACAGTTTCAGCTAAATATATATTTCAAATTCATTTTTTCCAATTTTACAAATATTTAATTACGGTCTATCTAATGTGCATAAAAAATTTAAATGGCTGTTGTCGAGATACAAAACAGATTTAGAGCTCTAAAACTTCGTTATGTAAACAGGGTCCATGTCATGTTTTGATTATTGGTTAATATACCAATATATCTTCGTTCAAGGCAGATCATTTCAATAAAGAATTTAATTCTTAATACGATTAAATGGTTTCCAGTGATTTGCTGAATTTCATTTTGTGAAAATTTTCTATCTGTAAACAAAAAAGAAGGCACGAACCTTGTTTACATTATGAAGAACTCCCAGTTCTGTATTATGAGGAATTTTCAGTTCTGTATCTCGTTTGTTAATTAACGAATAATGTTGTTTTTGCTGATCATTAGATGATGCCTTAGTTAGTGAATTGTAAACATTTCAATGATTTTTACCTCACCTGAGCCGAAGGCTCAAGTGAGCTTTTCTGATCACATTTTGTCCGTCGTCCGTCCGTCTGTCTGTCCGTCTGTCCGTCCAAACTTGGTACAAAGCATCCTTGGGTGAAGGGGAATTTAAATTGTTAAAATGAAGGGACATATCCCCTCGCAAGGGGAGATAATCAAGAAAAGACAAAAATAGGGTTGGGTCATTAAAAAAATCTTCTTTTCAAGAACCACTGGGCCAGTAAAGCTGAAACTTATGTGGAAGCATTCTCGGGTAGTGTAGATTCTAAATTGTTCAAATCATGACCCCCGGGGGGAAGGGCGGGGCCACAATGGGGAATCAAAGTTTTATATTGAAATATATAGGAAAAATCTTTGAAAATCTACTTCTCAAGAACCACTGGGCCAGAAAAGCTGAATCTTATGTGGAAGCATCCTGGTATAGTGTAGATTCTAAATTGTTCAAATAATGACCCCCGGGGGAAGGGTGGGGCCACAATAGGGAATCAAAGTTTTATATAGAAATATATAGGAAAAATCTTTGAAAATCTTCTTCTCAAGAACCACTGGGCCAGAAAAGCTGAAACTTATGTGGAAGCATCCTGGTGTAGTGTAGATTCTAAATTGTTCAAATAATGACCCCCAGGGGAAGGGCGGGGCCACAATGGGGAATCAAAATTTTATATAGAAATATATAGGAAAAATCTTTGAAAATCTTCTTCTCAGGAACCACTGGGCCAAAAAAAGCTGAAACATATGTGCCCATGGAAGGATCATGGGGTAGTGTAGATTTCAAAATGTCTAAATTATGATCAGTGGGGTAGGGTGGGGATGCATTATGTATAACAAGGGGGAAATCTGGTAAAGAACAGAATGGTCAAAGCTTCTCAGGTGAGCGATGTGGCCCATGGGCCTCTTGTTTTAAAAAATCGGTTTAAGCTGTGCCCATGTCCCTTTAAACGAGTTGAGTTTACTGAAATCCCTATCATTGATTTAAAGTATGTTGGGATATATATAATCATCATGTTAATTAATAACATACTGTAAACCAACTTTTATTCGCGTGCGAGAAATTTTCGCGAACTTCGCGAGAGCCTCGTCATCGCGAATATTTCTTGCCGCGAACCGGTCATTATAGTCTATGTGTCTACAAACAAGAGAACCTATAGATAGGCATGATCGCGAAAATTAATCGTCGTGAACTAGTTTACCCATGGTAAATCGCGAAATAAAGTAGTCGCGAATAAAAGTTGGTTTACAGTATCATTGATATATTTAATTTCCGAGTTGAAAGACACAGGAAGTGTCTTCTCCTTGATATTTTTTTGATAGTTTTATGAAATTTTTCAGGGACATTACTATTTAGACCATAAATATGCAAGTAGATAGAAGATAATCATGGCCTCCAAACTTTTGTCAAAGCATCAACAGAATTTTGTACAACTTGGAATAGTCTGCGTGGACGAGATAAAACTAATGTTTAAGGATATTTTTGAAAGTCAAATCAAACCAACAGATCTCTACTACGTCATCAATTCATGTTCAGAACTCACAACTGGCAGACACAAATTGAGGCCTGAGCAGCTGAGACTTTGTAGCCTTTCCCCGCCTCAGATTCCTAACTATGATCAATTTGATGTCTCGTTACTTTATACACTGATACGAAATCTCTGTCCAAACTTAAAACCAACAAAGGGATGGGGAAAGATGCCGGAAAGTACGGATACAAAAATAGGAGATGACATTGAGCGTCTTAGAATATTCAGAAATGATATGTTTGCGCATGTAGAATCTTCAGAAGTTCCTGATCCTGTGTTCCTGCAACGCTGGAATGATCTGAAAGGAAATATTCACAGAGCACAGAAGTTTGTGACGTTACTTGGGTATAAGGTTAATTATGAAGAGAAGCTCGCAAATATTGAAAGATCTGATTTTGGTCGAGATGCTATGGAAAAATACAAATTACTTTTGGAAGGAATGATGATTTTGTGGAAGCAATAAAAAATAACGGGTAAGGATTACATTATTTATGTTCTAGTGTCTAAATTTGACTGTATATTGATCTTATTTTTGAAAATTTTTACTTAGATATTCCAATGATTAGCATAAATGGAAAGAAGAAAATTCTTTGTGAAGAAAAGGCATGCTTTGAAGCTGTGACAGAAAATTTTCTTGACACCGATAACTGGCCAATTAAATGGGTGAAAGTGAGAGGGGACACAACAAAGAAGATTGACATTAGCAAGGAAAAGTACAGTGGGAGTACTAGTAGAAGACTTGTGATAAATAAGATTGAGAAAGAAGACCAGGGTGAATATCAGGCTGTGATTCTACGAGAAATAGACAAAAGACATGTTAAAATTGAAAGTAACACACTTTTCCTAGAAGTCATAGGAGGTACAAAGCACATTACTTTACTTCCTTTTTGTTGTTCTATCATCAGCCAAACTAATTGAACAATTTTATCCAATCTGAACATGATGATTAAAACATTAGCACTTTACAGTTAACTGATGTTAACTGTTAATGCTATAAAACGGCTTAATTAAGTAAATCATTCAATGTCCATTCATTTTATTGCATTTCAAACATTTTAACATTCTTTATCACGAAACATCTTATATTTTTGGACCCGTTTGGTCTATTTGTATGGTATGAAAAGACAGTGAAGACATTGAAGTTTTTTCCCAACAGTTTTCCTTATTGTTATCCCGTAGGCATTATACTAGTATTTTCGGAAACTGGAATATATTTTATTTGTATCCGCCACATCATTTCTGATAAATATCATAAAAATTTGCTGTATTAAATCGTAAAACTATTATTCTATAGATCTACCAAACCTAGAGATAGTCCAGGCAACGTCAGGAATAGACAGTATTACCATTTTTTATAACTGTGAAGCTGGAAAATTAATTCCTAGTTTATTAAAATTGAGTGGAGCAAAGATGGAAAACGTTTTATGACAAAATTTAAAAAATACATAGGAGGCAATGTTACGGACAGGTATCTGAAAATCCTTTCTCCATCAGAGAACGACAGAGGTAAATACATGTGTGAAGTTTCCAATGCTGTAGGATCAGTTTCGAAGGCTGTTTGTCTAGGTATTGTAAATACACACTTTCTACTTAATACCTACATGTTTATATATCATTAAAGCAAACAAATTAGTAACATTATTTATGTCAAAATAAGATTTAAATTAGATATTTTTTGTCATTGGTAGTTATCTGACTTTTTAAAGTTTCATATTAAGTATCGATATTTATCTCAGGAGATGAAAATGAAAGAAAAAACAACTTGTTAACTTATAAATTATCCTTTTTTTCCAGATGCTCCATTTGTAAAAATTGGCAAAGATCTTACTGTTGAAAATTGCCAGATACTGACGGCTTCATTTGGTGATCAAGTCACAATTGTTGCTACTGTCAAGTCTTGTCCTTCTCCGATAAAAGCAATTTGGCAAAAAAGCAGAGATCAAAATCCTGATAATTTTATGACCGTTGACATCGATGACGCCCGATATTTTGGAAGCACTTTTGATCCAGAGAAACCTATTTTAGTAATAACAAAGGCATCTGATGTTGACAAAGTGTATTATCGACTAGAAGTTACAAATGGAATTGGAAAATCTATAAGCAATACTGTTTTGCTGAAATTAGTCGGCGGTGCGTTGAAAACAACTTCAAAGATTGAATTTTGTGAAACAGATAGTACAATTTTAAATTGATGCAAATTTTATATTTTTGCCATGAAATTATGGCTTTTTGAATTTCAAAATGATTTGTAGCTTCTGAACTTTTAATAAAACAATTGAAAAGAAATACAATTATACACCATGTTTGGCACCTGCCTTGCTGTTTCTGTATCAACAGTATGATTCATTTAAATTTGAGAGCTTTCAATATGACCTGAGCCAAAACCTGCACTATTTGAAAGCATCTTGCTTCTCATAAACTGAACGTTAATCTACCGTTTTTTGTTATTTCAGATCTTCATTCTCTGATTATGCATTCTAAAACTGATTTTTTAAATCAGAGCGTTATGATGGATGTCACGTGACGCAGGACAAGGTAGACGTGTTGTACCGAGCTCTTGAGTCTTCTGACAATTTTCGCATATCTACTGAGTTTGGATTATTCATTTTCATTGGATATGTGTCAGGAATCTTTCCTGATTATGTATATATGTTTATTTTTTTCTGGATGTTTAATTTTGGACTTTTGATGGATTTTTGATTTGATTATTTACAATCCGTGAATTCGGGTGAATACCTACTCACCTGCACTACCTGTATTATATGTTAGCTACCTGTACGACTACGAGTACCGTCATGGCTGAGCAGCTCTCAGAACCAACGATTAAACCGTTATATCTAACGGATTCAGATATTCAATGCAAAGACAAAGATCGGATCACAGACTTTGATCTTATGGAAAGCGTTATGGCTAAAGTGGGCAATTCCCTACATTGCTTACAGCTTGACAGAAACTTGTGGCGTTTTTATCTTAAAGACAAAGAAAGCAGGGACACGCTTCTTTCAGAGGGATGCGAGATCAACAATATATCCCTGTCCTTTTTCGAAACAAATCCGTATTCCTCCGGAAACCATAATCCGAACGAAAAAACTTTGAAAATCAAAATATGTGGGTTACCGCTTTCGGCATCTGATACTTCTGTGATGGAGCTTATAGAAAAGCTAAAACTAGATCTAAAAAACAAGATTCTTTATGAAAAAATCAGGCACCCAGTCACAAAGAGAATGACGAGTGTATTGAATGGAAACCGCTTCGTTTACGTAGCACCCCTCCCTCCGGGAACATCTCTTGCTAGAGTACAGTACTGCGCGGGGCTAAGATGTCTCATCTTTCACTATGGGCAACCAAAACATGAAAGGAAACTTGTGTGCACCAACTGCTGGGGCACGGATCACACCAGGGGCAACTGTAAAAACGAACCTAAATGCAAGGTGTGTTTGGAGCCAGATCATTCACCTGGAGAACCTAAATGCAGATTCTACGAGCCTCAGCAAAATGTGATCGCATTCAATGGAGAAGATAATGTGCTATCAAATTTCTTCCCCTGCGAAATCAACCTTTACGGGTTTCGTCACAAATCGGCTGAGCATGCCTACCAATATGCTAAGGCAACACGGTGTGGCGACCTCGATGCAGCCAAAAACATCTTAGAAGCGGATGATGCTCTCTCTGCCAAACGTCTCGGTCACAAGGTCAGGATCAACGATCAGTGGTCTTCTACAAGTGAAGCCGTCATGGCCGAAGTTATCGATAATAAGTGCGCTCAAGTTCAGCAGTTCCGAGAAAAACTACGATCGGTCAAAAAAAACGTGATTCTAGCCGAATCTACATACAACACACCTGGGGGACCGGGCTTAACAAGACAGGAACAGAAAATACCAAGCAGCAAGCGTGGCCGGGTAAAAACCTATTGGGGCAAATACTCAGCAAACTCGCAAAAAAGATCCGTAAGCGCAAAAAAAGCGATCAATGGAGCAGTCCTCAACAGAAGCAAAACTCAAAACAGAGCAGCAAACAGCGCGACATATCAGTGATGATTAGTGAAATGCGCGCCCGTCAGCAGGAACACGATTCTGCATCCGGAAGTGATATCTCATCCGAGACGGACGGAGAAGAGGAAACGTAATGCTCCAATAGACTGCTTCTTTTGAATTCAAACTCATGACTATGATGCCGGTATGTTTATACTTAAATATTTTACTACCATATTATATTTCATTAACCTAGAACATCGATACTATGGACAAACTACAAATTATATCAGTTAATGTAAGGGGGCTTAATTCTGATGAAAAACGTCAAAAATTATATGAATGGCTTAAATTATCTCAATTTGATGTTATTTTATTACAAGAGACACATTTTATTGAAAAAAATGAACATAAATATAATGCCGGATGGCATGGGAAAAGTTTTCATTCATACAGCGATTCGTCACATAGTAAAGGCGTTTCAATATTTTTTAAGAAGAATTTAAGTATCGAAATACTGAATGTGAAAAAATCAATGGATGGTAGAAAAATGTTGTTAAATGTTGAATATGATAATGAAATTTTTACAATTGTAAATATATACGCACCTAACGACATCAACAAAAGAGTTGATTTTTTCAAAAGAGTACATACATTTATTACCAAAAATTGTTTAAATGAAAACGTAATTCTATGTGGAGATTTTAATTGTCGACTCAATGACAAACAAGACAAAAGTAAAAATTATCTGATTAACCTATTAAAGCAGCTTGATATGGTAGATGTCTGGAATAGAGAACACCCTGATTTGAAAGGCGAAACGTGGTGTAATGCCCAAGATATCCCTTTTAGTAGAATAGACTATATTTTTATGAATAATAATTTCTGTTTTCAAGTAGGTAAAATTATAGTGAGAAAGTTACCAGGTACTCATTTCCGAGGCACAAGAATGAGTGATCATAGATATTTAAAAATGTATTTTAGTATCCAGAAAAATTCAAGAGGTCCGAATTATTGGAAATTAAATGTTTCATATTTACAGAATAAGGAATACAAGGAAAATATTGCAAATTTAGTTAATAAAGTAGATAATGTACAAAATCCGATCGACAAATGGGAACTTTTTAAACGTTAAGTTAAAGAATTTTCAATATTTTTCGCAAAAAATAAACGAAAGAATATGAGAGGAAAAATAGCCCTTATTGAAAAAGAGATAGAAAATATGGAAAATAGCCAGTGTAACAATATAAATAATAGAAAACTTAAGGCACTCTACACAAATTTAAATGAACTTTATGACAAAAAAATAAAAGGGGCACAAATAAGATCAAAAGCAAAATGGATAGAGAGCGGTGAAAAAAATACAAAATATTTTTTAAATCTTGAAAAACAAAATCAAACGTCTAATGTAATTAAAGAACTTAAAACGCCTACTGGCGATTTAATAAACACTACAAATTCATTAATCGGAGAAATGAATAATTATTATACGAATCTGTTTAAAACTACAAATATTCCAACCGCTAAGATTTCGAGTTATCTAAGCAATATTGAAGTACCAATGCTGAACGAGAAGGACAAATTAATGTTAGATGAATTCCCTACACTTGATGAATGCAAAAATGCCGTACTTGAAATGAAAGGAGAAAAGTCTCCTGGCTTAGATGGTATACCATGTGAATTCTACCAATGTTTTTGGAACATTATAGGGCCCATTTTTTATGACGCACTTAAAGAAATCTTTAAACAAAAAGAAATGTCTGAATCTCAAAAGTTGTCTGTGATATCTTTAATACACAAGAAAGGCGAAAAACAATTGTTAAAAAATTATAGACCAATTAGCTTAACAAACACTGATTATAAAATCATAGCTTGTGTTTTAGCTAAAAGGTTACAAAATATATTATCATATACAATCAATAAAAATCAAACGGCTTATGTTAAAGGCAGATACATGGGTAAAAATGCTCGGCTAATCTTAGATATTTTTGAATATTGTAATTCCGAGAAGAGAGACTGCATATGATTATTTCTCGACTTTGAAAACGCTTTCGATTCCGTAGAATGGAACTTTCTTCTTGAAACATTAAAAAAATTTAATATTGGCGATCAATTTATTACATGGGTAGAGATATTATATAAAAACCCTAAATTCAAAATAAAAAATAACGGATGGTTATCTAAAACATGTAATATGACGAGAGGAATCCGACAAGGATGTCCAATATCAGCTTTACTATACTTATTTGTAGCTGAAATTTTATCCATAAAAATCAAAAACGAACCAAATATATCAGGAATTAGTATAAATGATAAAGAAATTATTAATATACAACATGCAGATGACCTAACAGTTGCTCTGAATGACAAGAAATCTCTCGATTTTAGTTTGAAAATTATAAACGAGTTTTGCGATCACGCCGGATCAAAAATCAACATAAACAAGACGGAATGTATCCTGTTAGGGGGGCTCAAAGATATGTATGATGAAATCAACGGTATTAAAGCAACAAATAAAGAAATAAGATGTCTAGGTATTTATATAGGACACACACGATAAAGAAGAATGCTACAATAAAAATTGGATGAAAATCTACCACGACATTGAAAAGTTATTTGAATCTTGGAAGCGTAGAAAATTAACGGTTTTTGGTAAATCGTGTATAATCAAAACATTAGCAATTTCAAAACTAGTTTATGTTGCATCTATATTGTGTATACCAAATAAAGAATATATCTGTAAGGTCCAAAGACTTTTATTAAATTTCTTATGGGACAAATCGGAAAGAATCAAACGAAATACACTGATCGGCGATTTAACTGACGGAGGTTTATCAATTACAGATATTGAATGCAAGTTCAAGGCTCTGAAAGCAGCGTGGATACCGCGACTGATATCTTCTAAGGGCACTATATTTGAAATCTTTGAGAGTTTTTTGAAAAAATCGAATTTAAATCTGAATTACGTCTTACAATTTTCTGAAACTAGTTTAAAAGCGCTTGACAGAATAGGCAAGCTTCCGCTTTTCTACAAACAAATTCTAATCTCATTTAACGAATGTAAAAAAATGTGTAACTTCGAAAATACGTCACCTAATGATATTTTAAAACAACCCATTTGGAATAACAATAATATCAAAATAAAAGGAGAAACATTATTTTTCAACAACTGGGTCAACAGTAATATTCTCTATTCAAAAGATTTAATAGATGATAACGGA